GGGCCGCCGAGGCGGGGAAGGCCTTGACCTGCTTGGCCAGGAGCTGCTGCTGGATGTGCTGCTGGGCCGCCTGCTGCAGCTTGCTGTACTTCTCCATCTCCTCGGGGGTGAAGGTGATGGGCTGGCTCTCCAGTGGGGCCAGAGAGGAATCTTCTCCCCCTTCCCGATCCCCTTCCATGCTCGGCTCGCCGCTCTGAGGCACATAGCCAGGAAAGTGCTCGACGTCTGGAACTAAGGGCATCATACTGGTTTCCACTGGGACCGGCTGGCTGCCCCCATCCATGGGTTCCAGCCCATCGCCATCGTTCGGATCCGAGAGGAAGTTGTGTGACATGACCAGATCTCCGGAGCCAAAGCACTCGGGGAGCGACGGCGCTTCCAGGGGAATCGACGGCATCTCCACGGCAGGTTCGTCGCGTTTCGGCTCGTCCAGAGGTTTGTCCTGAATGACCATCACCACATCTTCCAGGAGAGACTGCCCGGCCAGCTGACCCTCCTCCATGCCTTGGGAACCGTCCTCAGCATCCGACAGCTCTTGCTCCTCACCCCTCTCCAAGCCAGACTCCTCGTATCGTTTGGAGTTCGGTTTCCGCACCGTTGGCAGCTTCCCGATTAACGGGAGAACCGGTTTGTTGCCTAAGGAAGGAGGAAGTTTTGGGCCAAAGTAGCCCTGGGGAGGATCTTTGAGCTTTATGCCCACCTTGTTTGCCCCCGCCAGCACCTCATCAGCCACACAGGGCTTCTTCTCAACCTTCCTGGACTGAATCTTTTCCAAAAGCAGCTTTGCAGTGACAGAGTTTCTCTCCTCAGGACTGCAGTCCCCTTCCGAGGCCCGCCCTGTGCCAGAGCTGCTGCTGTTCTGGGAGAGAGAGCCAGATCCTTTCAGATCCTCTCCTTTGCCCTCCTCTTTCTTCAGCAGCGATCCTTCACCTCGGCCTGTCCGGAAATAGTGCGGGGATTGGGAGCGATAGATCTTGGACCTGATGAAGTCCCTCCTGCCAGACCTTCTCTCCTCGGGGCTCTCGTGGCCCCGTGAGCCCTTCCGTGACAGGGACCTCTGCGAGTGGCTCCGGGTGCTGCGGCTCCGGTCCCGGCTGTAGCTGCGGCTCCGCTTCCAGCTCCGACCCGTCACACTCCGGCTCCTCCTCTTGCTCCGACTGCGGCTGCAGCTGCTGCTGCGGGTCCTGCCCCGGCTCCTCGATCTTGACCTGCCCCGAGGGTGGGTTCTGCTCCTGCTCCGGCTCCTGGACCTGCTCCTGCTCGAGCTGTAGTCATCCTCCGACGAGGAGTATTTGCGCCGCTTCGAGCGGTGGTTCGAGCTGTTGTAGTCGGAGTCGTCCTCCGAGTCCTGGGAGCGCTTGGAGTGGCAGCGGGAGCGGTCGCTGTAGTCGCTGTAGCTGTCGTCGGAGTAGCTCCTGCGGCGGCTGTACCGGCTGTGCTCCGAGGAGGCGTCGGAGCTGCTGGAGTAGGACCTGTGGGAGGAGTGCCCGCGGCCCGAGCGGGAGCGGCTGCGGGAGTGCTCGCTGCCGGAGTCGTAGTCGTCGCTGTACTGGGACGGGGATTTCTGCCGGCAGTGCTTCCCGTGGGAGCCCTCGTCGCTGTCGTAGTCGCCGCTGCTCTGCCGGCTCCGGTGGCCGGGCCGGCCCTGGGACACAGCCGGGCAGCGCCTCCTCGCAGCAGGGACCTGCTGCAGCTCAGCCTTGTGTTTCTTGCTGCCGTGCTCTTGGCAGGAGTTACCCCCGTCCTCTTTTTTACCGCTGCTTCCCTCCTCGGCAGACAGGGATTTCCTCTGGGACTCCTGGGAGCACCGCTTTTTCTTCTGGAAGTGGCTGCAGTCTTCTGACAGTTCGGGTTTCAGCACCCGGTCTGACTCCGTCGAAAGGGAGGATTTACCTTTTTTGTGCCTGTGCCTTTTCCGCTTCTTGGGTTTCTCTTCCCCCAGCTCAGCTTTCCGGCCCTTCTCCTCAGCTTCCTCCTTGTGTCTGCGTTTGTGTCTGCTGGACTTTTTGTGCTTCTTTTTCTTTTTGTGTTTGTGGGACCTCCCCGATTTACTCTTCCCCGTTATGCTCTTACTGCTGTCCTCCCCCTCCCCCTTACCGACGCTGCCCGGGCCACACTCCTGCTTGCTCTGGGATTTGTTCTCTGTTTTCACAGCAGAACTGTTGCCTACACTTTCACCCTCCTTGGCTTTGCTCACCTCACCAGACTCTGTGCTCTGAGTGTTGTCTTTACAAAGTCCCCCCGGATCCTTGGATTTCTCTGCCCCTTTCCCTTTGGCATCTTTGTTGCGGGAGAGCTTGAAGTCGAAGTACAGGGGGTTACAGCTGTAGGACACAGAGGGCTCAGCTTTGGTGAATATGAGCAGCTCTGAAGGCCACTGCAGTGTTGTGCTCTCATCTTTACTCAGAACTGGGAAAAAAGGTCCTGTCGGGTGCTTTGGTCCCTCAGAGCCATCTCTGCAGCCCGAGGCAGGTGGAGCAGCTTCTTTAGCAGTGTCTGGCTCGGGGGGTTTGCTCTCTGGAAGGTGTTTGCTCTCCTCTGTACTTTCATTCTCCTGGATGTCTTTTGGCTCTGTTTTGCCCTGCTGGGATGTGGTTTCAGTAGTACTCTGCTCCTTCTGCTGCGCCGTGCTCTCAGTGGCTTTCTCCGTGTGCTTCCCAGGTTTGGGTTTGGGGGAAGTCCCCTTTTTCACTTCATTTGTGTTTTTTTTGTTCACATTTTCAGCTTCCATTTGTTCGGTTGACTTCATGAAAAGCAGGAATTGAAAATTGGGCTTCACTTTACAGTGGGCTGGGGGGATGTAGTGGTAGTACTCTGGTTCCATGGCCGTTGGTCCATCTTCTCTCCTCATCTTCTTCAGTTTCGATAAGGTGCTGGCCAGGGACCCGCTGTCCTTGTCGTGCTGGTCATCGTCCTCTTTGCCGTCAGAATTGTTGGTGCCTTCTCCCTCCCCAGACTTCTGCAGGCTGCCAGCCTCTGAAGACCCCCTCTCATCCCCTTTTGCCCCATCTGAAGAGCTGGACTCTTCCACATGGTCCTTGAAAACAGAAGCGATGGTCTCCAGCTTGACTGGAGTCTTCTTTGCGAAGGAAAACGACACCCCGATCTTCTGCAGCGGAGTCCCCAGAGAGCTCTTGATGCCAAAGCTGATGGCCTGTGCTGCCTGGGAGGGTGCCTGGCTTGGCATCACACCCTGTCCAGTGTTCAGGAAGCCTCTGTCCATAGTCATCTCTGCAGCCTGGCCAGAACTCGTCTGGACGAAGGAGCCGCTGTTGGCCGCGGAATCGTCGTCGTCTCCACCTTCCTCATCCACGGCCACAGTGGTGGTTCTGAACATGGGCCCACTTCCAGGAGCACTGTGGGAACAGGGGAGAGAGAGAAAACAGCTCACTGGTGTCCATGTACCTCTGGAGCGGGATTGATGCCTCAGCTGAGACAGTCCTACACAGTTCAAGTGCTCTTGTACCCACACACACGCAAAAAATAACATTATACAGCCACTTGGAATTTTTAATAACATTAAATAACTGAAGAAAACATATTGATGGATAAAGCACTTTGGGGATGCTCTGGATTATCAGTTTAGTGAATTCATTCTTACCAAAACTGCAGCATGAGCCTAAATGTTAGCATGAAGCTTCACCATCAGAATCTGCACAGGATTCTGGAGCAGGAGTGCCAGCACAGCACAGGGCTGCAGCCCCCCTCGTGCTCCAAGGGTGCTCTAAGGGTGCTTGGGACCACCCAAACTCACCACTCAGGTTGCCTCCTCTGCTCAGCCAGCTCGTGCAGGCGCCGAAGGGCCTTCTCCTGCTTCCTCTCATCCTTCCGTGACCTCGAAGAGACATTGCGAGCAAATTCCCTTTGCTTGAGATCTTTCAACCTCTGAGGCAAAAGAAAGGAGGGACAGATCAGATCAAAGCTGTTTGTGCTTTCGTCCAAGAGCATCTCGTTGCTGTAGCACTGGAAATTACGGTGTCAAACCCCTCCCCAGGGACATTTATTGAGCCAGGATGGAGCAAGAGCATCTCAGCTCAACAAACCCAACGGAGCACAGCGCCATCCGCCCAGCAGCTAAAGGAAAACACAACCACTGATCACTTTTGGCTAAGACTTCACATCTGTGTACATCCCTTTCCAAACAACGTTACTGGTTATCTTTAGCACGGACAACGAAGCTGACTTCAAAGCAACAAGCAAGTTCTGGAAGGAAAAGGGGGGAAAAAAAAGGAGGATTGTTTATTTGCTGCTCTTGCAGGGTGCTTGACAAACAGTGCATGACACGAGCCTGAGGAGCACGGGCCAAAGGACAGGAGGGATTAGCTGGTGCCAGAGTTACCTAGGAATGACATCTGACAAAAGCAATGTACCAATTACATTGGAGAAGGAGCCAAAAACCCCATGCAAATGATTCTGTAAGCAAATCAAGGATACAACATACACCACAACCAGTTACTTGCTTTCCTGACAGTAGTTCTGAGATGCTCTCTCAAGAAACAAACTACTCTAAATGCAGGAGGGTCTCTTGGGGTTGAGTACTTTGGGGGGCAGAAGCACCGAGTTCCCCAGAAATCTTATCATGAGGGAATAAACACAATGCCAAGGAATTTCAAACACCCTGACATCACTGAGGAAGTCTAGGTAGCCAATTTTAATAGAAAATAAACAGCCAAGACTTCAGAACATTTTGGAAAGTCCTTGTCTCAGAGCACTAGGAGAAGAGGCTGCTGGTTTTCCTTGGAATATATGTGGATATTCACAATGCTTTTTTAGGGTGCTCTACAGAAGTTGAAGTAACAGAAAGCAGCAAAGACAGACCTCTACCATCCTGAAGGGACTCACTGTTCTTTTTTAGTGCACAATTCAAAACCCTTTCAAAAGGCTCAATTCCAGAATGCATCCTGTACTCAGCTTTTGAAAGAAGTTTCATGTTTTTCAGGCATTTCATGCAGGGCCTGAGAGACTGATGGGACTCGGAGCAGGAGTCACTTTGGAACAATTCTCGTACAGGATGTACATAGCACTGGTGAATTCTAAATACTTCTGGCTGGCTGACTCTGCCCCTTTCCTGGAGCAGAGTCAGCCTGCCACACACAGGAACAGTGGATCTGGAAACCAACCCAAAGCTCAAATTAGAGGAATTAAGCTGGCCCAATGTAAAGAGAACATTGCTTTGTGAAAAAAGGGAAAACTGGACGAGACAGAGGATTCTCTTACCTAATTGTATTTACTAAATGTGGTTGAGGTGCTACCAAAATCAGAGGGGAAGACACACAAAGAAGATACAGCTACAGACACCAGTAGAAAGAAACTCACTCTTGTGATCTGGGCTCCAAAATTAGAAGGGTTTGCTTTCAATACATCAGCTGAAAACGTCACATCACAAAGAAAAAAAGAAAGTAAAAATATAACAAGAGTGGAAGAGAGGAAAAAGAATAAAAAAATACAAGCAAGCATTACTAGAGAGCTGTGGGTGTGTGGTGCCAGCTACTCTACAGAGCAGGAGAGGAGCCAGCAGAGCTACAGGACCAGGATGGGGGTCTGGAGAGGGGGGACACGGACACGGACACGCACGGACACAGCAATGATCCCACCTGGAACAGCAGAGCTACTTTCACCAGGACAAGTAAAGGGCTCAAGGGTTTTGTGGTGTATGTTAAACGTTGAAGAGTAAATTTTTTTTCCAAGAGGGAGGAAAAAAAAACCAAACCACAACTAGATGGGACTAAAGCAACGCCATCGGCTTTTTCAGGCTGATTTCGAAAGCGTGTCTGAAATGCTCCGGGAAGTTACAGCCACCAACAGCTGACAACACTATTTAATGGGGGCTGGTGCCAAGTCTCGAGATCACTCACCCATTTGGAAAAAAATATGACCCAGCTATTTAGACCAGACATGAACTGTGACCTTTCCCTTTCAAGAGGAAGGTGTGATGGTGCACCCAGAACCCCCTCCAGCCCCTGATCACCTCCAGGGACACAAAGTGGGCTCAGAGTTGTTGGGAATAATGCAGCTGCCCCCGAGCTCTCCTGCCTTCACTACGTGGCAATTTGAATGCAAACAGAATTAAATACCCTTTTTTAAATGCTGACCTTTGTGTGTCTTTGCAGCCCCAACCTCCCACTCTCAGCACTTAAAAATTAGAGGTGTGAAGCAAATGAACCACCCCAAAGCACTGTAACCCCACAATATCCACCACAGCAACCTCCAGCTGCACCCAAACCTGTGCCCTTCAGGGTGACAAACCACTGACTGTGGTGTTGAGGCTGCTGAGAATCTGCTACTCCTCAAACTGGGGAAAAGCTGGTCTGGCTTTACACAGGACTAAGAGATCTCAAGGCTGAGTTTCTTTTTGTCACACAGGAGCCAGAAGGAAGAAGGGTCTTGCTGGGGGAAGTACAGGGTAGAAAAGCTCCACAAATGCACCATGCCAGCTCCTTGGGAATGTAAAATATGGAATGTAACATAGTTCAGCTTATTTGACTGCCCTAAAACAATGCACCCATCATTGGAAATGACTCCTCGAGTTTGCAAGAGACCTGCCTGGACTGCATTATCTTCCATAAATGCACCCTGGGGTAGGGAAAAGGGGGACAACATGAGCCCAGACTGCTCATCCATAAAAACAACTCAATAATGGAACTCTGAAAATAGCCAGAACTTCTCCTGACTGGGGAGAAGCAATTCCAGGCCTGAAGTACAATTTTCCAGCATGGAGCACTGAAATGCTTCTCATACACTCCAGGCCTCAGCCTTCCCAGAAAGTCATCTGAACTAAACAGAGACTTAAGCCAGGCTTACATTAAAGAAATTTCCACCTAATCCCAAGGCAAGGGTTCATTATTCCAATCCTCCAAAACCTCTAAATTCCTTTTTGGATTGCACCATGTGTTTGAGTGTGAGGGAGGCTGGACAGCCACAGAACTGCCCCTTCCCCCAGCACAGCAGAGAAATTTCAACAAGGATTTAACACAGCCACTCCATCATCCTTGGGCAGCTTCTCCCCTCCAAAAGGAGCCCTGGGAAACCACCTTCTTAGGGTGAATCCTGCCTTTTTAAAGTCTTCTCATAGTGCTGAGCAAGACTATGATTTTTTCAACAGGATTAAAGCCACCAACCTGTATTAAATCAAACACAAGCTTCATGCTGCTATAGGATTTCAAAATTAGGAGGCATTTTTTGCTCCACAGGCAGTGTGTTTTCTGAGGAAGCAGTAACGTATTTTCAAGCTGTCAGATGATAACAACAATCAAGCCAAGGAATATTACTCTGCTGGTTTATTGCTTCAGCTGTCAGAAGGGCCACACCAGTGAGTGAGTGACCAGCACATTAGGACACAAATCACCAGCACTTATATGAAGTTTCTCCAGATTTCCACACTCTGGAAGCAGCACTTCACTACCTCCAGCCTTCCTGTGTTTTATTAATAGCTGCCACCCCCCTCAGCTTTGTAACAAAGAAGAGTATTTTAAGTTTTCAGCCTTGTTTCTAACAAAATCATCATCTCTACATTTCCCCAGGAGTGCAAATGGAGCTCCTGAAGAGCAGGTTTGTTATCAAATCTGCAGCTATGTCCGGACTCCAGCACAAAGAGGCCACAGTGATGGATTATCTCCCGATCCCTGCGTGGCTCAGGAGGGGCCAAATTGGCAAAATCCACCATCACCTTACAATTCCCTGCAAATCAGCTTAAACCAGCTGCCCTGCAGCATCTCTGAAAAGCTCCAGAGCCCAGCACAGGCACAGCAAAATGGGGAAACAAAGGGGGGGGAGCAGGAACTATTCTAACAGGAAAGCCACAGAATCATCACAGAATGTCCTGAGCTGGAAGGGACCCCCAAGGATCATCGAGTCCAACTCCTGGCCCTGCACAGGACACCCCAAAATCACACCCTGTGCCTGAGAGCGTTGTCCCAACACTCCCTGAAAGGCTTGGGGCCTTGAAATCACTCAGCACACCCCAGATTCTGCTGGTGAGGTGGTCTCAGGTGAGACCTCCCCAGTACCCAGCTGGGGTGTGGAGCTTCACAGGTTCAGAACCAGCAGGAAATGGATCTTCTCAGTTGAGGTGACAGAGCCCTGCAGTACCACTGAACTGAGGCCCTCTGGGAGACATTCCTGGGCTAAAAGTGCAGAGCAAAAGGAGATCATGTTATTCTCACAATACAAAAGCCCCTTGACAGACCTGAAAATCTGAGACTTTCATGCCAAACCTCAAACTGAGGAGATGGTGAGACCTGATCCACGTACAGAGCTGGAGACAGGACTCCTGTGGCATCAGAGCCAACTCCTCCCCTGCTACTGTTCTCAAATCTGCAAATCTCCATTAAACAAAATAATAATAATAATAGTAGTAATAATACTAGTAATAATACTAATACTAATACTACTAATAATAATGTACTTCTCATTCCATGCCAGCAGATGTCTGGCTTTCTGAACTTTTGATGTCTGCTTGATTCTTTGCCACATCAGCTTCTGGGAGTTAATGACACCATCAGCTAAACACAAGCTCCAAGGATGGCAACCTTTATTGTTTTATCCAAGTGAGAACACAAGCCTGGCCTATCTTTGGTATTTGGTAATCAACATTCTTTGCATGCTCATTAATGAAGTGAAAAGGAGCAGAGAGGAAATGGCCTGCAAATGCTGCTTTTATTGCATCTTAATTTCTTCTCTGACACCACATTTTCCACTTAGGAAAAAATATGATAATGTGACAGAGATGGCCCAGTGACCCCAGCTCTGCCCTGCAGGAGGTTGGCAACCCTTGGAATCACACTGGAATCACACTCCAGGCCTGGTATGCTGAGGGCTGGTTTTACTGAACATTCTCCATGTCTAAGTGCTCCTCTCCAAATGTGTCTGTCCTCAGCAAATGAGCAGCTGAACAACCAGAACTGGGTTAAGAAAAATATCACAGGATGGTTTGGGTCGGAAGGGACCTTAAAAAACATCCAGTGCCACCCCCTGCCATGGGCAGGGACACCTTCCACCAGCCCAGGTTGCTCCAAGCCCCGTCCAACCTGGCCTTGGACACTTCCAGGGATCCAGGGGCAACCACAGCTTCTCTGGGCAACCTGTGCCAGGGCCTGCCCACCCTCACAGGGAACAATTTCTTCCTAACATCTATCTAATCTAAACCTACTCCCTCCCAGCTTAAATCCATTCCCCCTTGGCCTGTCACTCCAGGCCCTTGTCCAAAGTCCCTCTCCAGCTCTTTTGCAGCCCCTTAAAAGTCAATTAGTGGGATTTCTTGAGGATAAGGCATTTCTGAGGTGGAAGAATCTCCCATGTAACACCAAGTACCTCAGAGATTCTCTCCTCAGCCTTCTCCATTTAAGCTGTGCTTGGAGGCCCAAGTTTTTGGAAAGCACAAGTCTAAGTCTCCCCAAACCAGGAGACTCAGGCTCTGGATTTAAGAGTCTTCATCCACCCCAGCAGTGACTGTGTTGGTAATTCTTTTGTGCTTTAACAGATCCCTCCCTCTCAGCATTAGAAGCAAAGATGCAGATAATTAGGGCACAAAGAGAACTGCAGATCTGTAGTTTCAGTTCTTAGCTCCACCCTGTTTCCCAAAGAACTTCTTTATGGAAATACATTCCCTTTGTCCTTTAACAGAGAGAATCTGTGCAGAATTAATCATCTACACATCCAAAACAACACACATTTCAAGGGGGGAAAAAGCTACATAAAAGCCTTCATTTCAGTCCTGGTTACATTCTCCCAGGGAACCTGGCACAGGTTCACACAGGAACACGTTTGTTTTTCACAGGGGAATGTTTTGATTCTGCTGGGTCAGTGACTCAGTAAACAGCTGAACCCCTCAGCAGGGGCACGAGCAGGAAAGGAGTGCCTGGGTGTGAGATTCTGTAAGTTCTTGGCTTGTTAAAAAACCCTCACAGTAAAGGCTGACTGGAAATGGTTCAGAACTGACACCTCAGGTAATTCCAACTGTAACACCTTCTGCAGGCTGCTCCAAGTGCTGGGCCCTGCACACCCAGGTTTATTGGACAGGAATACACACACTGGGTACAGCCCCAGGTAAGGGCACCCACCCTCATCTTCACACAGACCTAAGGTGGAGTTTCTATCTTGATGTCAAAACCCCAAATGGAATTAAGGGCCCACTTGGATGTAATGCCCTAAGGGCACATTCCCACTGAGCCCAGAGTGCTCCAGGACTGTGGGAGCTCCCAAGGATCAGGATAGAAAAGTAGTACAAAAATCACAGAATCACAGACTGGTTTGGGTTGGAAAAGACCTCAAAGCCCATCTAGTCCCACCCTCTGCCATGGGCAGGGACACCTTCCATGCCCTCTCCAACCTGGCCTTGGACACTTCCAGGGAAATACACTGGGTCCATATTCACCACCCAAGCTCCTCTCTAGCTGCAAAAGTTTTCTTCCAACATTTTCCACCTTTTTTCTGTGCACTTTTATTCATTATTACTCTGTTGACAACTGTGACTGGACACCATCCGAGGCAGGACCCTTCATAACCTACCAGGCCCTTAGCTCAAGATCTTACAGCTAAAAAAACCACCACTAAAGACATCAGCAGCTTTCCAGGGTACAAGAAGTTATGAGATCCATGGTTAAAGACTTTTCCAGTTGCTCACTGAAGGATCTGTGAGGGAACTGAGCTTATTGTCCCTCCTGCAGTGCCATCTGCACCCACTCCAGTTGCTTTTAGTCCTCTGACTTCCCCCAAGAGGGACCAGAGGGTGACCAGAAGGTTACAGGTCTTTAAAACAGCTGCACTTCTCATCTCAACTATCAAACTAATTAAAAAAAAAGCTAGGGAACAACATTGCACACCTCCAGCAGGATGGATTAAAATACAGCAACTGAAACAGGTTTGTGAGAATAAATGGAAGGTTGTTTTCCCAGGTAAGGAAATTCTGCCTTTTGGATAGAAACTTGGTGTTGAGGTTGATTTAGATGGAGCCAAATGCTCTAAAAAAACAGGATAGCCAGGAAATGATAGAATAAACCTCCCCTTTAATTGTTTGGTGTTGGCACAATTTTGGTGGGTCCAAAATTTATCCGGTTGGGATCAATACACTTACCTATCATCCCTGTTTGGCAATAATCTTGAGTTCCTTCCTGGAATACAAGACAGTGTCTTTATAACTGGGGAGCAGAAAGGGATCTGAGGATGGAACATCTATTTACAGGGACAGCCTGTGGCTCGCTGCACCACAGAGGGATAAGCAAACACTTCAACGTCAGGGGATGTGGAACTAAAAATACTTAAAAGCAAAAATGATCCTGGGGAAATCAAGCCAAGAAAAAGGGAAAAACGAGCTCTGTTGCCTCAAAAATTACCACTGAGAAGGCAAAATACTGCAGATAACATTATACCAAGCCAGGTTGCTGTAACTATCTAAGATACTGTAGCAGCTCATCTTTCCAGGAAAGCCAACTGAGTGGCCTACTTTGAAGAAAACTTTCTGGTTTTCCTCAAAAACTTTGTGCTCCCCTTTCTGTAACCTTGCCTTCTTGTCCAAAAAGGCAAACTGTGAAACATCAACATGCAACATATAAAAAGTACAGCTTTGCTTTTTTTTTTTAATTAAACTACCTTAAAATTTAGACTGGACACAGCAGTGAGATGATGTTACTTATGGAAATTCACTCTCATTATGTCTCTGGAGTTTCAAGTTCACTCCCTGGACACAGACCCAACAGGGTCACACACATTTCAGCCTGACACAAAGCTGGACAAGCAATTTTTTCCCTAAGCAAAGCATGATTGCTTCTTTGTCTAAATCCCTCTGTAACTGGAAATTAATGCTGGGTGATGCAGCCACAGTTTGGAGGCTCATTTGCTCCAAAGCCTGCCTGAAGTGACTGCAACGGATGGAATTATCCAAGAACATAATTCCTCTCAAAATAATCAGCAACCCCTAAATTCTTCCTGCTGATGAGATGTCCCCACCCTGTGTGTCTACAAGACATTTTTCTCTCAGGTCACTCCTGCTGATCACTCCTTTTATACCAACGAGGGGTGGTTGCTTCCACAGGTTTGTTTCTTCCTTCACAGCATCTCCAGGTGCTGGAACAGCTCTGGGCCTTGCCAGGCTCACGTCAGTCCCCCATTAGTCACCGAGGGTTTGAACAGGAGCTGACATAATTATGCTGCATCAGCACACTGAGAATGTGACACAAACAGGTCCTTCCACCTCCTAAATAAATGCAGGTCGTTGCACTCGAGTTTCAGCCAAGCTGATGGAAACCTTCAGGTGAAGTTCACAGCTCTCAGGTGTCAGGACTGTGCCAAAACAGCCCTTTGCCCAACACAAAGTGAATGAAGGCATTTCTGCTCTGAATTCCACTAAACCAAACTTGGCCACAGAAAACTGCCCTGCCACGAGAATTCTTGTTAAGACTCCCTTACAGAATCTACTTGGAATACTATCACAGCCTACATTTAATCCACACACAAAAAAATCATATTCTAATGCCCTATTCCTGTTTTTAAGCTGTTCACTGCTATTTTGCAAGCTCTAGTACTCTACAGCACATCCTCCATGAGGTATCAGCATTTTAATGATTGTGTTGTTAGAATTTATGACTAGGAACATCAAAACCCTCCTCTGAGCCATTCCAGCTCTGGGTGAGCCCAAAACCACTGTCTGCTGTGCAGTTACATCTCATTTAGCAGCTTAAGTGGTCAAACAGACCAGGCTAACACATGAACTTTTTATTATTTACTGTGCAGTGTGAAATACCCTGTGAACACATCCCTACCTTGGGAACAAAGCCAGCTCCACACAGACACTGAATCCGCCTTCTCCTGAGGGTTACAGGATTTGGGAAGTGCTCCTCTGACACAGCCCATTATTTCCTGGTCTGTTTTCAGTAACTCAACAGAACACAGACTGAAGTACTAAAATACTCACACATGGTGTATCATCACTCCCCAAAGCTGTACTGTGCTAAAAGTGAACTGGGAGCCATCCATATCCACATGTTCTATTCCCAGTTTAACAGTAGCCCATTCCTGCCCCTGGGTCTCTCAGAACTGGGGCTCCTTGATGCCAATCGTGGATTGGGGTTTGGGGTTTCTCTGTTGTTTTGGATTTTTAAATGCATAAAAATCTTACCCAGCAACACAAAACACCTATTCCTGGAGTTATAAGGAAAACAGATACACCAGGGAAATTCCAAGTATTAACCACAGACAAGACCACCACGATGAACATCAGACTGGTGAACTGTGCTATCAGCACTTGGTTACCTGTTTGTGAGCGTGGTCATAAGAGTTTATGTGGTTGTCAAACTCCTGATGCTTCTGATACTGCTTGTCACAGAGTTCACAGTAGAAGTTTGCTCTGAGGTCTTCCAAAGCCTTGGCAATGGCCTTTTCTTTATCAACATAATCCTAAAATATTAATAAAAAATGCTTCTGTTAAACATCCTGTAAAACAGACTGGAAGATGAGGAGTTAGTCCTTCAAGGAAAAATAGTGTTTCAGAAAAACTTAAGAGTATATTGATGGTTATATTTATTACAGAATCAATCAGATTGGAAAAGACTTCCCAAGATCATTGAGTCCAACCTGTGCCCGATGCCCACCTTGTCCCCCAGCCCAGAGCACTCAGTGCCACGTCCAGTCCTTCCTTGGACACCTCCAGGGATGGGGTCTCCACCACTCCCTGGGCAGCCCCTTCCAGTGCCTGACAACCCTTTCCAGGAAGGGTTTCCATCCTCCTGATGTCCAACCTGCCCCTCCCCTGGCACAGCTGGAGGCCGTTCCCTCTCCTCCTGTCCCTTGTTCCCTGGGAGCAGAGCCCGACCCCCCCTGGCTCCCCCCTCCTGTCAAGGGGTTGCAGAGCCAGAAGGTCCCCTCTGAGCCTCCTTTTCTCCAGGCTGAGCCCCCCCAGCTCCCTCAGCTGTTCCTGCTGCTCCAGCCCCTTCCCCAGCTCTGTTCCCTTCCCTGGACACGCTCAATGTCTTTCTTGTTGTGAGGGGCCCAAAACTAAACCAAGGATTTGAGGTTCTTTTCCAGCTTTCCAGCCACTCTTCCCTCACCCTGGAGCGCTCCATGGGGTTGTTGTGATCCAAGAGCAGGACCTGGCACTTGGCCTTGTTGAGCCCAGTTTATCAAGCTGAGCAGTCTTTGCAAATTCACAGGTGTGATTCCAGAACTTTGCAATGCCACCGACTGCATTTCTTACACAGAATATCACCTTGTCAGAGCACAGGTATCACTAAAACAGACTTAAAACAAGGCCTCCAGCACCGACAGGGGAAGGCAGCTCTGCCTCAGGAGAGCCTGTGGGATTGTCTGTGCTCCAAGGAGAGGTTCAAAGCCTTGAGCTCGCCCACAAACGCACCAGCAGCGTGTGAGATGCACAAACACATCAAACCAAGGAGGATTCCTGCCTTTGGAACAGAACTTCAAATGCTGGTGCTTCCTCCATTTTGAGTGCTAACAGCTGCCTGCTTGATCTTGGTTTGTGTGCCTGAATTCAGGAGGGAGGAATGCAGCTCCAGCTGGGAATCACTGCTCAGACACCAAGGAGCCCAACCCACCCCAGTAGATTCCCTGTCAGTGAAACCTTCCCAGGAGCAACACTGTCCATCAGGCTGAGCCCAGACACAGGGATCACACTGGGCACAGGGAGCTGCATTTCATGAGCAGGGGGAAGGAGACCACCTTGAAGGCTGCAGACAGGATTTGTTTCCTTATAATTCAGCGTCTTTATAGGTGGAAAACCAAACTGCAGGCAGAGGTGGTGTCTGGATTGGCAACAGTCACATCCTGCCCTCTTTAGCTACAGGTTTGGGGTGGGCACAAGCTCTGGGACTCTGGGGCAATCCCAGTCCCTCAGGTGGCTGTAGTGGCTGGAAATGCAGGTGCTGGAAGGAGCCTGTGCTGCTCCCCAGCCCTGTCCCCAGGGCACAGCCCCAGCTCAGACACAGCAACCTGAGGGCAAAGCAGCCCCTCCCCTGGCCAGGCTGGCTCAATTACAGCCCCACCAGCAGAATTAATAAAACATCACCACTCTGCACAAGCACTGGGGAAGGTTTACTCTGAGGAGGTGCTTCTTACTCAAAACCAGCTGCAAATGCTACATCCCAAAGCCCATTGCAGCAGCACATCCCAAATAGCCACTTCCCACAGGCAATTCAACTGGAATAAAGAGATCTATACAAAAAAAATAGCCTAACATTAGAGAAAAAGCACTGAAGGGTTTAAGTGTTTCCATCTTCAATACAAACTTCTCATGGGAAGCTTCCTTGCCCAGCAAGAGGAAGCAGCAAATATTTAAGAGAGATAAACTGTGCAATATTTTTTTTTTCTTTTTCAGTTCAGATCTTGTTCAAGGCAATATGTTTTATCTCCCAGTTACCACATCAAAACTGCATTAAAAGAACACTACTGAGCATGTTTTATATGATGCAAAATTTATGTAAAAAATTTCAGCACCTGAGGAGGGGGAAAAAAAATATCTGAAAAATTCCTGTGCTAATGTTTGGGGTTGTTTTCAATTTAAAGCACTGTTCACCTCCTAAATAAAAGAGATGTATTGCAACTTCCTGCTTCCATCTATTACCAGATGCCCTTGTTAAGAAGAAAAAAGAGGAAAAAAAAAATCAACAAATCTGGAGGTTTGAGCCTGAAGCAGGTCCCCAGGAAGACAAGAAAGGAAAACAGAGCAGCGTGAGATCCACAGAACACTGAGGTTTAACGTTCCTCTGAATCCCAGAACAAGCTTCCTGCACCATGGGTAGGTTTTTTTGAGCAAGCATCCCGTGGCTGAACAATGAAACTCAGCCATTTGAATGATCAGAATCTATACAAAAGGAGGGAATTAAAGAACATTTATGGCTTGCTTCTTGGCTGCAGAGTTATCCCGAATTCCTCTGAGGCTCCCTGAATGGCTAATCAGGATGCACAGTTACATAATGGCCTCCTGTGGAGCAATGCAAAAATAAGGACTGCAGAGATTTTGCACAGATTAATATCAAAATGCAAGGGGTAAGGATGAAGCATGATAATAAAAACCCACTGGAGGTGGGAGAGGCTGCTGCTGCTGCTCCAGAGCTCCTGGAATATGCCCGGGCTGGATAAGGGCAGGAAGAGAAAAGAGTCTCAGAGCAACACAAATTCAGCTGCATTTGAAAAGAGAATTGTAAACTACAAGAACTTCAGAATCCTCAAATAGTTTGGATTGGAATGGACTTTAAAACCAAGGACCTTAAAAGCATCCACTTCCACCCTCTACTGTGGGCAGGGACACCTTCCACTATCCCAAGTTGACCCAAGCCCTGCCCAACTTGGTCTTGAACAATTCCAGGCACGGGGAATTCACAGCCCTTATGGGCACCCAAAAACCTGCAGTTCACTGACTGAGCAAGTCAAGGGCCCAAATAAAAAAAAGAAGAAATGAGGCTATAAATTTTTGTAGCTGAACAAACTGCCTGCAGAATTAACTGTTCAGCTGGGGAAATGGAATTTTAGATTTGCCAAGGTTATGTTTAATTTTAATGGAATTGAAACTACTCTTCCATTGTTTCTGAAAGAAATAAAATTTATGCAACTCTGACACTCCATTTGGATGTCTCAGGCTCTTCCTCAACCCTGGTACTTCCCCAGTCTCAGGACAACTGAAGGTTTTCCTAAAACCTGATGGGCTGGGAAGAGGACGAGTGGATTAAAGGACCAGCAAAGACCAGGTCCCCACAGAGAACCTGGTTACAGCTAATCCAAGAAAGCTCCAGCATGTCACGCTCAACCCCAACACCACAGCTCATTTTTATCAGCTTCCAGCTTACAAAATAACCCCTCAGGTTTTGTAAACCCCATGGAAATATAGAATCATTATTTTTTTTTAATGTTGGCAGAGCAATTCTTCCAAAGAACTACAGCCCATTGATTTCTCCAAGCTGGAGCTGTTTCCTACCCTTCCAAATTAAGCAGGATTTATGCAATAATGCCCCACTCACAAGACAACACCTCCTCCCTCCCAGCCCCTCTGCAGGTTTTGCACTAACAACATGGCAGGTCCACTAGAAAAATCTGGCAGCCCTGGGCACAGGGAAGGAAATGTCCTGCTCACCATAAAACTGTTTTTTTCCAGAACAGCAGCAAAGCACACAGAGAAAAGCCCTGCTGGTGTCCTGGAGCTCTTCAGCAGCTAAACAAACACCAAGGTTAACGCCAGGAAGTGAATAACCAGTTTGTTAAAATACAAATCATCTCAACAATGACAGAACACTTAATTCCTGCCACCATCACAGCAGCCTAAGGAGAAGAAATCAGAACAAATCTTTTCCCAGTCAGCCCACGGACACTCTGATGTTGATGCCCCCCTTTCTGTACCTTGTATTTCTGCCTCAGCTCCTCGGTGTCTTCCTTCTCCACCTCCAGCACTCGCCTCCGCTCTGTGGCATCCTCGGCGTAGTCAAGCTTTTTTTTAAAAAAAAAAAAAAGAGAGAAGAGATGCAATTTGTCCCATAAATACTTTGCACTCCCACTGCCAGAATGCACAGCTTAAAAACCATGAGGTTTGAAACAGAACCTCTGCATGTTGTGCTGCGTTTTCGCTGCGTAAAACGGGTCATTAATGCACACGAGGTGGAGGGTCCTGTCCATGCCAACGGCAACCTCAGCTTTGGGTGGGGGGGAAATCACAGAGCTCAGGGATTTTGGGGAGCATCCAGACCCCAGAACTCAGATCCCCGTGGATAAACAGAGAGGAGAAGCGTTTGAGAAGTGTTTTTTGAGAAGTGTTTTCTCACTGTGTCAATTTAAGAGCAAGTTGTTCTGTTATCTTTGATGCCACTTTGAAATGTTTTCATTTTGCCTTCCCCACCCGTCCCCAAGAGCCATGCAGGGCTGAGGGGGCAGGTGGAGGTGACCTTACCTCCATCTCCATGCGGCCCATGCCCATGACATCATACTTGACGACGATAGGGATGGGATCCGTCCTCCCTGGAAGAGGAACACACAGAGGGGCATCAGGAGCAGCCCGGCACCGCAGCTCGTGTACACATTGGGTTTGGGTGGTTAGAGATCTTGCCTTGGAGTGCAGAGACCAGAAAGCTACAGTGAACCAAACACGAGCCATTCTCACAGCTTACAGCCAAACCTGCACCCCCAGCACTCACAAAGGGCTTTTCTCAACAAGAACTGGCCACGTAAAATGTTCTCGTGGTTCACGTTCCCCCGTGTCCCTCACGGCTTCCACATGGGGCCAGAGGTGCTCCTCACCTTCCCACAGGAGGGAAGAGGCTGTTAAACACATTTTGCTGCTCTAGCTCATGAATAATCACTTAGGACTTCCCTGTAAAGGGTGTGGAAGCCTCCCTCCCACCAGCTTTTGTCCCTCCCCAGGAGCAAGGAATGCCAAACTTCCTTCAGCCACGGCCAGGTGGGTGCCACCTGCCCCCCAGGAGATGCTCTGGCACTCCTGTGTCACCTGTAAGCTGTGAAAAGGACTAGTTGCGAAGAAAATTGACTTTGAACTAATCAAACTATGCTGGAGATTTTTTTTTATTTTTCTTTAAAAAAAAAGAGTTGGATTCTCTTTTCTTCCCTATTGGCCAGTTGGTATAAATAATGCCACTGAGATCAATGTGAATTTTCCTACC